ACATCCCCTTCGACAGCTTCCACGTCAAAGTATCCTTCGAAGTGTATATGACCAGTGAGACAGTCTTTCCGTCATTTGATTCACCATTCTTCTCCTTCTTGCCTTCCACTGGGAAAACAAGCGTATCGTCATCCGTCTGAACGCCCGATCCACCGCCTGCAACCAGCTGCATCAAGTAATCCTGTTCGCCATCAGAGAAAGTGCCGACCAGTCGCTGGTTCTTATTCCACTGGATTTTTTTATTGCTTTCTTCAGAACTGACTTCCCCCTTCACCAGCAAAAGCCCCCAGTCACCTGCACCCCTCTCCTGAGGATTAGTAGCAGCTGCCCGGCTGTATTTTCCAGCAAGCATGTAAATATCATTTCCCTTCACAGCTGTTGTTGGTCGGCTCACATCTACTTTCTTACTGTGTGGGGAAGTGCCTTCCTCCAGTACTTGTGTATACTTTTTGGCCTCATTCATTAATTCCACCGGTGCGCTATCCTTTGTTTCCGTGAGAAGTTGGGATGCAATGCCAGTAAAGATACAGGATGCTTCACCTCTTTCCTTGCACTGTGCCTAGGCAACGGCAAACACGTCAGTCCCCACCTTCAGGATGCTGGGAACGCCCAACGAGTCCACAGTTTCCTTATCATCAGTGACGCCCCTCCATGCAAAATTTGGATCCGCCAATGAATCGCTGTTCTCCACAGCGGCTGCAGCTCCACAGGTGGCGCAGCAAACCATCACGACAAGAAGGAGCAGCACGGCGGAATTAAACACATGCCGGGACATGTTGGGCCTCTGCTTCCCACACTCTCTTCCTTCCCTCCTCCTTCCGCTGGATCCGGCCACGCGGCGACGGTTGTGTGTGCGGGGTGCCATCACAGCAGCAACACGTAAGAGCATATAAATATGTGTGTGTGGGCGGTGTGTGCGCTGTTGGTCCTTCAGAGCCCTCGAATCTCACGGTGGCGGTTAGCGCTTATTTTCCTTCTTTCGTAGCGTGTGTTCAAGAGGTGGAGAGGACAGCAGCAGCGGCAATAAATCAGACACGTTCGTGGAGACCAGAGCAGAGCACCCACGTGGAGAGCAGGACACAAGACAATCCGGAAGGAACAGCACAGAGGAGCATCGCCCACACCAGCCCTCACACACACACACACAGACACCATCGCGGTGCTGCCAGTCCGCGGGTAAGAGGATTCGGCCCTCCACACAACAAACACACACACCGCCAGCAGTCACCCACCGTGGACGAGGAGAAGAAGCGACACACCGCCACCGCCTCCAGTTCTGTCCCACGACCAACGGGATACGGCAACAGCCCCGCAGCCAACACACTACGCATACCGAACAAGCAATCGCCCAAAGATCCACACGCGGAAGCGGATCCTCATCCACCCATGACGCGGCGCCTCGCTCCATGCGGTCACGACGCAGCGCGCCATTTCTCCAATAGATCTTATCCTTCGTCCATCCCGCTAAGATGCTTCTGTTCGTGATGGGCCTTAGAACACAATAGAAGAAAATGGACAATGCAGTGATACTGCGACAGCGCCAAACACAATGATTCCCTCATACCAGGGCAATTCTCCAATTATGCCTCGTATGCACACACAATCAACATACCATATGAAAACCACCCAATGTTTTTCGCCAGAAACCAAACAACCCCACTCCCTCCCTAATTTTCTTCTGTCACTGTTATGTTCGATAGCGTTGGGCATTTTTGGCATTTGTGTGCGGTGCTGCCGCATGGGGCTGGTGCACCCGCACCGCACGCACACACACAAGTATCCAAAAATACATAAATCTCACAATATTTTTTCACCAAAAGTCAAAACTGCCCCTTTCCCTCCCTAATTTGTTTTCCTATTTCCGTGGTTATTCCTCACTTCGGTGAGCTTCGTCTCTTCAAAAGTCTCCGGATGGTATTGACACTTGGTACTGGCGCACCTTTTCCTTACAAAACGCCGCAAATTTTTGGTTTTCCTTCTTGCTCACATTATCGGAATTAACAACATCACATCTCTGCCACTCATTCAACGGCGTGCTGTCCGCGTGCTGCACATAAATAATCTCCCACGACATGTCTCGGGATAATTTCTTCCAGCCATTAAAATATGCCGCCAGGCACTCAGTGAACTGCCGCACAGTGCTGGCGGTCGTGTGGCGCCCACCCGCCGTAGCCATCCGCAGCCCAACCAGCGTCCTTGGATTTGTGTCCACAAAGAAAAAGCCGTCCACAAGCGGAAATTTCTCGACCCCCGGTATGTACAGCAGCCGGTGGTTTATACAAGTCTTCTTGTCAATGTGTTCCACCGACGGCAAAAAATAGTGGCTGGTGGGGCCCTCCTGTGAGTACACTTCCGGCGCACAGCGGTGTGACTGACGTCGTGCTGGGGGCTTCAGCTCCTTCAGTTTACGTCTTATTGCAGCCATGAAGGCCACATTCAAAAATGCAAACATGACACACTTCCCAAAATTTGCGTGCATGAGATAATCCCTGATCCTCAATACAAATAAGTTAAACTCAGCCTGCGTCATTAACGTTTTCAACTTGCACAATATTTTACTTGCGAGGTGGTCAGTTATCGGTGCATTGAAGGGCGACTCGCCATTGCGCTCTCCTCGTACTCGGACAATCCTCGCAAGATATTCAAGCACACTATTACCCTCCCACAGTTTGGAATTTCCAAAAGCAAAGTAACTCCGAATTTCCCAAGAGTCCGTCCAATCCACAAGGCTGTGGCACTTTGCAATCCAATTTTTATAACGTTCCTCATCAAAGATGTGGCGAAGAATCGGTCCCATTTTGTCCATGCGACCCTTCACCTCTCGCCAGTATTCCGCTTGCTGCTGCGGAGGTTGATTGCGCTTCATCCAAATGCACATTGCCTTCACGTCACTCTCATCAGGGCAATTCATTATGATTCGTACGGCTCTCTTTTCACTCGCCCAGTGTATGTAACTTGTTGTCTCTGGCGTTGCCACCACAAGCATGCCCCAGCCTCTGGGAGGCAAAAAAGGAGACGGAATATCTAACCTGTATACCACGTCGTAGATAATATACCCCTTCATCCCGCGCCGAGACAGTTCCTTCACAGCTTTTATCATTATGGACTTATCCGTGTAGCTTGTCGCCGTCTCGGTGGTCTTGTCAAACACGTATGCCTCACGTCCAAAAATAAAGAACACAACCACAGGGAGTAGCTCCGCATCGTAGTGCAGCAACTGGTAGAGGAGGTACGAACCGGCAGCCACCGACTTCCCGATCCCGGGTGTCCCAATCAACAAACGCGGATGAGGCGTAAAGTGGTCCTCAGGACGACTGCTGAACAACTCGGTGAGATCGCCCTTGACGATCTGCCACACTCGATCCACCTCACAGTTCACATAGCAGTCGGTAATTGCTTTCCTGCCAAAGAACTGCCATTTCTCGCCAAAGGTAAGCACCATCAGCCTGAGGCGTGGTGCACTGGATTGCTCCACACCGTCATCCTTTTCAAGGGTTCGGCCAACTGCCTTGTACGTCCATGGCTGCGGTGGTTTCCCCTCATGCACCTCCATTCCCGTCCCCTCGCCGCCAGGAACTTCCATGACATGATGCCACCTCGCATTGTACACAGACTTGTAGTCTTCCCGCAGCGCGCATTCTTCCACCCGACTGTCAAGAGCCCACATTAATCGCCGCACCTCCTCCACTCTTCTGCGAGTCGCAGCGGGTTGATCTGTGTCACCCTCAGACTCCGGCCTCGCTCTCCTCCGAATATCTCCCTGCGGCACAGCAGACGCTTGATTTCCAGGCATTGCTTCCTTCTGTTCTTTTTAGTTGGATTGAGTTAAAGCTGAACAATAACCACCAAACAGGAGAAGAATAAAAGAGAGATGGGGTAACTAGGCACAGACATGACGGGCAGCCACAGCAAGAGAGTCATCCACACAGTGTGCGACGCACACCACATGCACGAGGGCCGCCGCAACGACGGCGCGCGGGTGCCATCCACCCAGCACAGTGTGTTGGTGAGAGCAAACAATAATAACAACGTGGTGTGCACGGAGGGTTCGCCCACGCATCCCGCTCGCTACGGTCCGCACCCCTGTGGCGCCGCCGACACCGCACACACTCTGCAAGAGGAAGTGGGCATATCGTCACGGACACACAAAAACACACACAAAAGTGGGAAGAGAATTCGGTGCAGCCACGGCCACACGCAGACACCCAAAATCACACACGCCACAACAGCGGCGCATCATGGTAAGTTCCAACACAACAGAAAGGAATGCAATTGCATGCTTTATGGAAAATCCCCGCAATTCGCGCGGCAAAAAAGAGCCATGACACTCCCTTTCTTACTGCACTCGCCATTCATATTCCCAATGCGTAACCCTTCAGATATTGCCCCGCCATGGTGAAAACAACTGCCTCGTTGTGATGTCATCGCGCAGCCATCCGCCTGAGTAAGAACAAAAGGAAACTCGGGCGTCCGTCCACCTGGAGGGAGGAGGGACTCCACCGCAGTGTCCTTCATGACGCAAACACCCCACATCCAGTGCCCGGTGTCGTGTGCAGACTCCGCGAGGAGGTTGTGGGCACGCCACTGTGCCACATGGTGTGCCTCCTTGGAACGCAACAGCAGGCATGTTCCCTTCCGCTCTCACTCGTGGCGGTGGCGGCTTCCGCTGCCTCGCTGCGTGCTGGTGGCGTCGATTACGATGCTGCAGAGAATGAGAGAGAGAGAGAGATACGGAGAGGTCGCCCACTCAATGCAATGGAAACAAAAAACAGTTACTGTGCTCCGCCCATGCAGCCAGGCAGGACGGCAGCGGTGCGTGTGGTGCAAAAGAGAGCACCAACGGGCCTGCATGGGTGTGCATGCATATATACAATGGGCACATTATGTGTGTGCCTCGTGGGGTGAGGTGAGGACGAGAGTCCATGCAAGGGGACACACACAGAGAGTGAGTGAAAGACGAGTGTGTGTGCGGGCGGTGCATGGCGCTCTCTCACTCACTCTCATGCGGCCACCACCGCAGCCGCAGCCGCACACACAACAACAAGAAGAAGCAAAAGAGGGGAGGTGGTGTGGGAGACCGCGGTGCTGCCGTCATTGTCTTCAATCGTTGCATTATATTTTTTGGCAGTGGATGTAAATGATGTTTGTTTCTCGCTGCCATCCACTTGTTCTTGATGTGGTTCTTCCTCCGGCACCCCGGCATGAACTGCTGAACCATCGTTTGCAATCTCTGCATTGCTTTCGTCAGCGTCATTGGCGGCAGCATCATCCGCAGGAGAAGATGGTGAGGTTGTTTCAGCCTGACCCTCAGTTATTGCATTCTGCCTTGCATCTGTTGTTGGCTCAATGCCTTTTGTGTGCGGATCTTCAGTTGACTGCGTGGTATCTGGGACTTCCTTTGAGGATGGCAGTGCGCTCTGTGGCAGTGATTTCGGTGGCGGTGCTGATGGACCTCCTGGTGCCTCTACTTCTGCTGCTGTTGGCGGCAATTCCTCGGATATTACTTTTTCTTCCGGTGGTTTTGGCTGTCGCAGGGGCATTGGCCCTGCTTTTGCCTGTTCTTCTGTACCAGCCGTGGACGATCGCAAAGTTCCAGAAAGCGACTTTGTATCGGATTCATTTCCCGGAGCTCCAGAAGGACGAGTGTTGATTGAAGCGGTCAATAATTCAGGCGTTTCAGTTGCAGAGTCATGCTCTTTATTGCGCATGTTGCCGCTCGAATCTACCTGATTTCTTTTTTTCCCATCTTCCATATTATTCTGGTTCTCTTGAACACCTTCTGACAATCCCTGCAACACGAGCAAACTCTGTTTGGTGTCAGTCGGTGTTTGAGTCTGCGGTGTTTGCTCTTGACTGTCGCCGTTCGATGCATCCCGTGAGAGACCCGAATTGGGTGCAGTCGCATGCTCTGCTAATTCCTCGGACGGCTGCGTCGCAAGTCCTGGTTGTCCTCCTGCTGGCGCTGGTACTGGAGGTGTCTGCACGCTCGCTCTTTTCCCTGGCACGTGTGGTACTTCGTCTTCGTTTTGCGTCGCCATCTGCTGATCGGTGTGAAATGACGCATTGTCGTTTTGCTCGTTGTTCTGGTCCGCGGTGCAAATTGTCAAATCCACAGCAACAAGTGGCGGCTGAGAGCACATACTCGACACTGACGGCTCTTCGCCGCAGCCTGCTGAGCATTGGGCCATCGGATTTCACGGCTGGTATGCTCAGGGAACGAGAGTCGCACGCACGGCGTACTACTTGCCGCCTATTACCGTCAGTGGCCTCGAGTTTGGTGCGGAGTGTGCGCCAGTTCCAGCAGACCTGGACTGTTGCCATGGTGGCTCTCCGTATTCCTGATGCAGTGTGCTTCGCTGTGCTGTCCATGTTGGCTAGTCATCGCGGGATTCTGCGGAGCTGGTTGGTCATCGCGCTGTACCTATTCCAATCCGCCTTCTTCCATTCTGATAATGTCTTGTCACGCCGCGGTGCCACTGCGGGCGCGTCGTCGTCCCCTATCCAGAGCATCAAGGAGGATGGTACAGTGATCACTGTTCGGTGAGGGCTGTGCTGTCCAGTGGACGACGGCACAGTCCTTGGACAGGGCGATGTCGGGACGCTGAATTGCCTTGTCGCTCGGTGTATCTCGTGCACACACCAGCGCTGACGACCTGGAGTACATGCTCAATGCACCGCTGCACAATGGTATCGCCACGGGAGTCTGATGGGATGCTGCGATCCCAAGCCTCCGTGTTTGCGTCGACGTCTGCGTCCATTAACTGTGGCCCGTCCGCGCAGAGCAGCCCATCCAATTCCCCGGCTGCCATACTCTTTGTACAGGAGGGAGGGAGACACACCGACAAAGCCTCCAGTTTCATTCCTGCCTCTGAATGGATGGTCGCCTGCGCCACCTCGATCCCGGCGGCAGGGCCGGTCCCGCTTCCGCCCGTGGCCCCTCACAGACAAGAATGGCCACACCGCCGCCTCGACAGGTGCAAGCAGTCCCGCAGTGCTGGAACCCTGGCAGGGTAAAACTAGTGGCTTCAGGGTCGGGTGGTGGTATCAAATGGAAAAAAAAAAACGCAAAGTGCGGTAACCAAAGCGATGTTTCCGCGCGGTTTCTTCGCTGTAGGGTCGTAGGGCGGAGCAGAAGCAAAAACCTTCTCAAACGAAATACAAGCAAATGATTCTTTTCCCTTATTTTACTTTAATGTTCCTAACGCCAGTGGGCCGTGTGCTTCGACTCACCGTCTCGGCAACGCATCGTGCTTCCCCCCCCTCCCCCTCCCCGTAACCCCTTTTTTTTTTCCTTTCCGGCTTTTTATTATCAATGGGAGGGATAAAAGTTTTCTTCTTGCCTCTTTTTTTTTGCGCTGCATCCGCACACCGCCGCAGTTGCTTCCGCCTAACCAAAAGGCAAAAAAAACAAAAAACAAAAAACAAGAAAACAAAAGGCACATGCGTTTCATTTTATCTTTTCCTTTTCGTGGGATGTCATTCCGCGGCCTCAGCGGTGTCACGCCCGCAATCCCCCTCCTGCCGCATACACCTATACACACACAGAAAGAGAACGAGAGGGAGGGGAGGAGGCACACAAAAGAGTAAACCCCAACCAATAAAAAACAAAAACAAAAACAAAAACAAAAACAAAAACAAAAACAAAAAAAAAAAGGAAGTTTGCAGTGGAACGAATGGAGGGGGGACGACGACGACAACGACAACAACAACAACAACAGGACACGTCCATATGCATACACAATGACGGAGTGGGGGGACACACACACACAAGAAAAGAAAAGAAAAAAAAAAGAAAGTGATGATGAGAAGGCAAAGTAAACCACAAGAAGGACATAAGAGAAAAACAAAACCAAAAAGATATATATATATATATATATAAGCACAGAGACGCTTCCGCTGGCACACACACAAAAATAAAGTAGAGAAAAACACTCCGCAACTATGACAGTCACTCCCCCGCCCCCCGCCCCCCCTCCTCCTCCCCCTCTTCGTTTTCTTGCCGGCTTCAATCCACGCTCGTTCCCTCAAAAAGAGCAACGTTTTTATTTGCCTCTTTTATTCTTACTTTTTTCCCCATCTTTAATTCCCTTTGGTTCTATTCTTCTCTCGCCTTCGTGACCTCCCGTTCCCTCCCTTCTCTTCTCTTCTCTTTTTTTTTTTTTTCCTCATTCTTTTCCCCTTCTCCCTTCCACTTTCCTTAATTTCATTTTGCCACAGCCGGATCAACGACGGAGCGCCTCCCACTTGCTGTCGTCCCTCGGTGCTGCCTGTGACTTCGGGGGGCCCCGGTGGTTCCCGCGTCCAGCGCCATCGCTTGCCCATCCTCCCTTGCGGCCGTCCTCGCCATTGTTTTTGCTGTTGTCGCCCCCAGAGCCTGACCCGGGCGGCGGCAGCGGCGGCGGTGGCGGTGGTTGTGTCATGGGTTCATCGCGCCAGTTTGCTAGGCAACCTGCTGAAACCGGGCTCTGCCGCTTGCTGTTGCGACCGCCGCCCATGCCGCCTCGACGGTCCAGCTCGGCGTCGCTTCGGCGGTTCTCCGGCAGACCGGGATGAAACTCCGGCTGCGCCACCGGACCCTCATTTCGCCAGCTCGAGAAATCGGGTTGTCCCACCGGACTTGCCGCACTCTCGGAGCTCCGAGTGGCTGTCCCCAACGTATCGCGGGAGAGATCAGCTAGCATATGAAGGTCGTTCCTGGAGCAAAACCCAGATCGGTGTCCCGTCTCGCGCTCTGTCATTTGCGTAGAGCCAAAGGCATCGCGGGTGAGATTCAACTGCTGCAGTCCAGCACCCTGCTGTGACTGTCCTGCGTTCTGTCGTGAAATCCCATTGTGTCCGTGGAGCCGCTCCACCTGTTTCTGCGTGGCTAAGTCTACGTAGAGCTTGCGTCCCTTTACCATTGTTTGATCCATTGCGAGAGCGATGGCAAGAGCCTGAGCCGTTTTGAACTCCACAAACGCAAAACTCTTACCATCTTGACTAATGAGTCGCGAAGTGACAATGCAATCCTCGTGGAAGTTGCGGAGAAATTCCTCTTCGGTGGTGCCGTTGCGAAGGTTCCCAAAATGCGCCACAAAGGGCGGCTGAAGGTCATTTATCCCTTTGGTGCGGTTGACCGGCTCGCTGGGGCTATCACGAAACCCACCCTTTTCCATCAGCGCATTGTTTGCCGTACGGCTGTAATCTCTCTTGGCGATTTTCTCCCCCGCCAACTCATCCCGCGACTTTTCCCGTGGAACTTCCACTGCCCAATCTAAGTTATCTTCCGGGATGTACTCATCGTTGAAGTCCACAAGGTTGATTGTCTTTCCGCGTCCTCCCTTCTTTTTCGCTGGCATGCTATTTATAATTTATGAGTTATTTATTTATATTTAATTTACCTTTTTTTTTTTTTTGTGTGTGTGTCTTTTCTATTTCTCTCCTTTTTAAAATACTTACTTTTCCTCTTCTTTTCCCCTCTGCCTTTATTTATTTATTTATTTATTCTCCCACGTCCCGTTTCTAGCAGTGTCTTTGGGTGAAGGGGAGGGGGTTAGGGGTAAAACACGCACACACACAGAAAAAAAAAATGCAAATAACAAAAAAGGCCCTCTATTCACCGTGGGACAAACAACAAGTTTTATGCGTCGCCATCCGCTGCACACACACACACACACACACAGAAATCGCACGTCCATATGACATTTACGAGTTGACATCCCCAAGCAAAACGCTCCCTCATCACACACACGACACACGCACGACCCCGGAAAAAGATAGGAAACGGCAAAAAAATAAAATTGAAGAGTCTGCGGCATCAGCAGGGACACCACGGCTGGGCGGGAGACTCCACTCCCCTTCGTTGCGTTCCTCCTTCTTCCTTCCTTCCTTTTCCCTCCCCAGCTCCTTCATTGCACGTTCGCCCGCAGAGAGTTTTGTTCGGCCTTCGCCGTCGTTTTAGGCATTACGAAAGCAGGAGAAACTGACGCACCCGACACACGACGTGCCGTAGAGCCTGTCGATGAGCACCGGCCGATACTTGGCATCCGTGAGCGAAAACCGTCATTAATTAATAACTTGTCATCACGCGGCCTCAGTGCTGCTCGTGCCTCCTCCACGCGCTGTTCCAAGAGCAGGAGCAGCGACTCTTCATTCTTCTGTTGACACTTCTCCAGCAACTGCTCGGCTTTTCGAAGCGTTGCCTCCAAAGTGCCGCGGTGACACTCCGTTTCCTGCTTTGCCGAATTGGCGGAGTGACACAGGCCAACAAACTCGTCTTCAAACTCCTTCGTGCGTGTGCGCTGGGCACCCTGCAGGATTCGGTGCGAGTCGACAAGCTTCATCAATTGCACTTGGGCTTCTTTTAGTTCAAGACGCAGCTGAATGGTTTCAAGGTCGCTTACTGAGGGTGCCGTGTTTTCACTGACGGTATCGTTCGCAGAGCCATCGCTCCTACTCCACGAGCTCCTCCCAGAGAGGGCCAATGCGGCAACATTCTTAATGTTTGTGCCACGCCGCAGGTGGTAACACAACTCCTTACGCTTTTGCAACAAGAGAGCCTTTTCTGCAAGAAGCAAGCCTTTTTCAAGTCGCCACTCTTCCTCCTCTCGTGTCATCTCTTTTTCTTCCCCCACCTCCTCTTCCTCTTCGTTTTGTCGTTTCCAAGCGGTGTTTGCTTTATTCTCCGCATCCTTCACTTGGGCGACGGGCTTTTTCCTCGCCTGATTGCCGTCAAGTCTTTCGACATGGCAGGCCTTGGCGGCGTGAAGCTCCTTGTCCACCAACTTGTGTTTCGTTGCAAGTGCCTTCATCTCACCCTGTGTGTCATGGAGAGCCTTCTCGGTGCTCCCTAAATAAAGTTTGTAGCAATTCTTGTCCTCCACGCTGTGTATTACATCCACCCACGCATTCACCTCATTCAAAAGGGACTGTACAGGTGTATTTAACATGTACGGCGGTGGGGACGGGGCGGATACCAACGTTTGTGGCGGTGCCCCAACTTCTATAGATGTGGTGTAAGGGTTTACTCCTTTTTCTACGGTACCCTCTGTATACATGTTAGGGGTGCCACGCATGTTACTCATGCCCCGCGGGCTAACAAGGGTGTTATTCATTACATTTCCGTAAAGCCTCAATTTCGTCCCATTGACGCCGTATTGCGACGCGGCCGCAACCTCCACAGTGGGATACGGCTTCGGTGGAGGCAACGCCGATGGAAGGCTATCGGCGTCATCATCGTCGCCGTACATCACTGGATGGTCAACCAAATGGAAGCGCAAGCTGAGCGGAGACCGTGAAGGAGAAGACCTCGTCGTCGCCGTGACGGGATTTGGCATTGCGGATCTCTGGATTGTACGCGGAGTCAAGACACCAGGCAGTGGTGTCGCCTTCATCGCGTCCGGCGTCCCCCGCAAGTGATCCTCTGAACCGGTGGGTGCGGACATATGAAGGCGTTTGCTGCCGGAGTCTGTACCCGGCTCCAGCTCAAAGACGATACTTGCACGGTCGCCGTGAAGTGTGGCTGGTTCACTCACAGTCTCAAAGTTAAACGACGATGGCGAGTCGGCGATGGAACTTTTTTCGCCCCACGCGGTGCTCCCGCCATTCGCGGCTTTTGGTATGAGCCGTGCAACTTGTGGCTCCTCCGATGACGGCAGGCGTTCCCCGACAGAATGCCATCGTCTGCAGTAATACCGGCTGGTGGTTCGCGTGGGTGTTGTCCGCGGTGGTCCGCCCGGTGTTCGCCGACCGTCCGGGAGTGACGGGCCGCGGGATTTTGGGACCAACGGCGGAACCAAAACGGAGGACTTCGCCCCAGAGACGGACTCACACTGACGGATTTCCATCATTCGCTAAGGAATAGGGGGTGGTTATCTGTATTTTACTCTATCTACGTCAGCAGGACTGCGTGCTCGGAGAAATGGAGACGCGTGTCTCACACGATTAGTGCCCTTCTGTTTGCTTCTTTCCGGCTTCACTACTTCGCCGCTGCAGCCGATCCACGCGGGAAAGAAAAGAAAAGAAAAGAAAAGGAAGTGACATGAACGGGGGAAATTTCACACCTCTCCTGCCACTTAGCCAAAGTCGCTGGGGGTCTGAACACCACCAGCAAAAAAGGACCACACACAAAACACACACACACACAAAATATGTTGTATTGCGGGCGCATAATGCGAGATAGGAACGCAAATTAACATGCCAAAAAAACCGCCGCACAACTGCTTCCTAACTCAGACAAATAAACGTCATACATACATCCATGCATATGGTTATACATATATAAAATAAATAAATAAATAAATAAATAAATGTGTATATACATATATATTTATAGAGAGAGAGAGAGAGAGAGAGAGAAAAAGAGAGGAAATAACGATGCATTAAAATAAACACGTCACCTCCTTACGTTCTCTTTTCTTCATTCGTTTTTTCCCCCTTTTTCCCCTCTCACCTATCTTCCTTCCTTCCTTCTTCCTTCCTTCCTTTTCTTTCAATTTCACTTTTGTTGCAATAAAAAACTTATATCATCGGCATTCCCCACCGTGCACGGACCATATATGTGTATACACACATACTTATAGGCACGTAACATAAACACCGAATGCAGATCGAGTCATTGCCCTTCTTTTTCTTTTTCTCTGAATATAAAATTTTCTCTTTTTTCCTTTTTTTTTTTCTTTTTTTTTTCTTCTTCCCCTCTCCTCCTCTCCCCCTTCCTTCCCTGCTCTTCCTCCCAGTCCCTCCGCCCCAATTCACCTCTTCATTTTTTCTTTTCTGTTCGTTTGTCATGCCACCCCAAAGGACGGCACGCAGACAAAAAAAAAAAAAAAAAGGAATATGAGGGGGAGGGGGAACAGAAAACAGGCGAAAAACACAGAAAAACAACAATAAAAAAAAAAAAAAAAAAAAAAAACAATGACGCCTCACGGAGTCTTGAATGCAATTTACATAAATATCTGATTTTTTCCCTTCTTTCTTTTTTCCTTTTCTCTTCCCTCCTCCTCCTCCTCCTCCCCACCACCGATGTCGCAAACACACACATACACACACAAAAAAAAGACGATACGACCCAAAAACCCATTCTTCTTGCTAAATTTCACCACATCAATTTTATGTCTCTCCTTTTTACTTTTTACTTTTTTTCTTTTTTAGTTTTCACTTCGTTACCCCCGTGGCGCGCGGGAACAACGGGCGGTATTAAAAATTTGCCTCCTCTCTCTCTCTCTCTCTCCACACACACAAAAACAAACAAACAAAACCCTTTGATCACAAGCAGCCCTGCCAGCAACCCTTATTTATTATTATTTTATTTTCTTTTCATTTTCCCTTTTTTTGTGGTTTCTTGGTATCCATTTCTTTTCTTTTTTTTGCGTAAAAAAGAGTAATTGCGCTGTTGCGACTCTATTCCTGGTGGGGGGGAAACGCGGGGAGCAGACGTGTCCCTAACCCGTGTTTTTACCACCGGAGACAGCGATTTTTGCAAGAGACCGGGATGTCTTCTCAAGCGGCCAATGTTTTATTTAAAATATTTTTTTTTTTTTTACTGCTGCTCGAAACCCACCGAATTTGGTGTCATGGCTGCAACTTTTTCGTGAGGTTCACCATCGTTTTCGTGCAGTGGAGGCGCCTCGACGGGAGTAGACACCGCGTGGTCGGTGCCGACAAAACCCTCAGCCTCTCCATACTCCTGCGCCTCAGGGAGAAACGAGACTGCGACTGCACTCGCTCGTGGCGTGCGCGGAAAGGTCGGGAGACCCACACGAATGACACGCTGCGGTGGAATTGGACGCACACCACCGCGATTGACAACACCGTTTGGCCGTTTGATACCACTGGAGTCAGCAGTATTTGCAACCTGCTTGGAGACACTGGCAGGCCCTTCGGAACTTCTTCCTCGCGATGCAGAGTACGTGCGCAACGGAGAGGCTCGCGCTGATCCGCGACGCCGCGGTGTTTCACGCTCAGCTGCAGCTGCTGTCCGCGGACGGCCAACAGGCCGAGGAGAATATTGCAAGCGCGCGGCATGAGGAGACAATGTGGTGATAAATTTGCTTGAGAACGGAAGAAATCCCTTGCCGGACCGCCTCACGTTTGGCGTGCTTGCCCTTGCGTATGATTTTGCCGCCCCTCTAGGCGTGAATGGTCCATTTGATGTGTTTGCCTCTGTGTATGATGTTGTTACTCCTCGTGGTGTGAAGGCTCTTCTTGGCGTACTTCCCTTCAGCGGAGAAGTCTCCATCTTTTCAGTGGGAGATTTACCCCTCTGTGCCACCTTCTGCTTCTTCAGCCCTTTTTTCGCTGGTGTTGGGGAAGGCGTTTTCTTCGTTCTGGCCTCCTCCCTATGCACTTTTCCCCGCATCACGACACCCGTCTTTTTTGGACTTCCTGTTGGATGAGTGTTCTCCGTCACTGTCTCTTCATCATTCGTTGCTGCCTCGTCCGCAGCGTTTAGGCAAGCAACATGCACACCGCTCGGGCTATCCTTCTTCACCCCATTAACATTGTCATCGTCGTCCGCAGCAGCAGCAGCAGTTTTGCCTTTAGAGAGTGTTGCCTTTCCCTGCAGAGTGACGTTAGGGTTGGTGGGTTGACGATTTTCAGAGAAGCTCCTCATTTCCAGCAATTGCTTCATCCCCTCAAAGGCATAGGCATTCAGAGCGTGATCCATATCCTCCGCCGACTTAGTGGAGTCATGGACCAGAGAAATCTCCGTAAAAAGTGTTGAATCCCCCTCCATTTTCATTTCAACAACACGGATTTTCGTATCCGGTAGCCCTGTCGCCATTGAGGCTTCGTTTAGCAACGTCCGCATAACGGTGTCGTGCATGGAAGAAAGCAAAGACGCCCATTGACTGCCCTCAAATGTCTTCTTGTATGTCGTCACCGCTGCCGCATTCACCGACGGCTGCGGCGTAGGAACAGGAGCCATCGCCGCGGCCTCGGGCGGATCCGAACCGCAATCCGAGAAGCTTCTCGCAGAGCTGTCTGCCTTTTTTGGCGCCTCCTCCTTTCGGATGGGGGTCTTCTGCACCTCGTCATCGGAGGTTTGCCGCGGCGCAGGTATCGTTTTGCCTTTATCTCCTGTACCGCTTTCTGTAGATTGGGCACGCAGCGATAAAACTCGCGCAGGCGCCGATCCGCCGTTACCACTCGTGCCTGTCAGTGGGACATCGCTTCCCTCCTTGGACAGATCGTGCAACTCGGGTGTGTGTTTGCTGTTGGATTCTTCGACGGCTCCGTTCGGTGCGTTGTGGTGCTCGTCCACCTCCAACTGGCCTTCTACTATCATTCTCTCTCTTCAAACACCCCCTCCTTCTCTCTTTCTTTCTTTTTCTTTTTTAATTATTATTATTGTTTTTTTCCTCTTCCTTCCTGCCACAAGTTCCTTCCTTGTGGTTAATTTTGTAGTGCCCCCCGTTCCCAGTTGTCCCTGTCGCAGCGGAGCGCTGGTGCCGGAAAGAGTGGACTGCTACTACGGTCACTACTACACCCCAGTACCGCTATTATATTAATATATTAGCAGGTGGTGTGTATGTATGGTGGTGGTGTTGGGGGGTTGCAGGCCGTTGTGGTTTTGGCGTGCGTGTAAAACAACGGCAAAAAAACAAAAAAAACAACAACAACAAATAAATAAAATAAAAAAAGAAACAACAACAACAACAAACCAAAAAGGGTAAATGAAAACATGTGGGGATATAGTGGTGGCAGTGGTTTGGATGGGAGCCAATCATACAAATATAAAACAACAGCAGGAAATGCATTGGAAAAAAAAAAAAAAAAAAAGAGAGAAAAAAGAAAAAGAGAGAGAGAGTGTGTGTGTGTGTTTGTCACAAACAACTCTCTTCCGTCATGCCTGTCCACAGTGGCGCGGCGGCCAACTCACGTCATTGACACCTGCACGGCATTCGCATCTTTGCCTTCGCCAGATTTGTCCTTCAACCCACGCCACAGATGTAACGTCAGTGCAGTGCGTGCACAGAGACACACACACAAAAAAAAACCCCTCTGACAGGGAATCGGCAAATCCGATGCTCTGCGATCAATTCCGTCTGTACGTTCCCCACCGCTCGTCCCTTACTTTTCTTTTTCTTCTTCTTTACTTCCCCCCACCCTTAAAGTTTCACTTCCACTCCCAGCGTCTCCGTTAACTCCCTCTCCAGCTTCTCCTTCAGGGAGTGTCCATCGCTGTCAGCAAGCCACTGTACATCATTCACCCCCTCCACCTTGTCTTTTCCAGCCGGCAGGACCATGTCGTAGTGGTGCGGCCCAGAGACGGGTGATGAGAGCCACAGCTGCACATTCGGCGCTTGCTTGTTAAGCACAAAAGTTCCACTCGACACCGTCTCAACAGAGAGGACCCCACTCAAAAGATTCACTTCCTCAATGGCACTGCTGTCAACGCTTTCCAGAACATTTTCCACGTGTTCCAAAAACAAATCTGCCGCAGTGTTGTACGTGACGTCTGTAAATCCATCCATTCCTAAACGTGAGTAAGTTTGCCCCTTAACTCCAGCAAGCGCAACTCGGGTCGTGGTGCCACATCTGCAAATCGTCTTTAGGGAGGTGGCGTTCATCCCGCGCGCTCTCGTCCCCAGGCACGATGGCATGATTATTGCCGCCGCTGTTTTTGTTGTTGTTGTTGTTGTTGTTGTTGCTGCCACACGACGCATCGTTAGGGACAACATCCGGCTCTCTCCTCTTCCCTGTCAATGTGGTGCAACGCCATCAGTGAAGCACAAGAAGCAGATATATAAATCGAGAAAAAGAGAGAAAGAGGGGCACAATGAGGAGAGTGAAAAGATCCCAGTTATCAATGGGGAATTTTCAAAGGACACACACACACACACACACACAAATGCCTACACATATCAATGTATAATGGATGCGTATGTGCATACATTAAAAAATCAACATCAGCAAGAACAGCGAAAACAGGATACAGACACATGGAGCGTAACTAGCAGCGGAAATCATACAATGACAGAAGGTCAATGCAATAATCATGATTGAAAATACATGAAACGCACAAAAACACGCATAAAAAAAAGGATATATATATATATATATATATGTATAAGGACAGAATACATGGAATGTCCACTTCCTCTCGTCCTCTCAGCTCAGCCGCTGGGTGGCCCGTTGTTGCAGCAACTTCTCCGCCCACAGCCCACGCGCCACTGTGGAGACGTCCGAAAACTTCTCAGGACGAGGCACTGATCCGCTCCTGGGTACGGGAGAAAGATATGTTTTCGTGCCAGGACGCCTGGGTGGTGGTCGCCGCAGGTAATACAGTCGACTGACCACGTCATCCTCACAAACGCCACTTTTTACGCGTGGACGCTCACGCTGCCGTTGGTGTTGATAGTTTTGAGCTGTGTATGCATCGGACACAACATCCAACAAACGAGCCGCCGCCGCCTCCAGTTCCTTTTCCTCCCGCCTTGATGTGGGGGAAAAGTGCCTACAACATCTCCCCTCGTAGGGGGTTTTGCGGCCACCCGACAACATCTGTGACCGCACACGGCGCTCCACATCGTGTCCCAGTGTCCACGGCTCCATCGCCGCCGCCGCCTCACCCGACGCAGAGGAACGCTGGCGCGGACGGCCTTCATTGCGGGGAGAACGATGAGCGCGACGACTGACACCATTTCCATCGGACGCCGTGCTTGCGTGCTCACCGGCAGCCATCGCGTTCACGGACGAAGGGGCGTCCCACCCGCCCGATTTCTCGCCCTCACGTTTGCTGCACAACTCCTCGCTAAGTGCATCCGCCTCCCCCGGCGGGGTTCGCTCAATCGAAAGACGAGATCGACGTGACGTGCAGTTAAGCGCATTACTTGTACTTAACCGCGGATCCACGCCATGATTTTTATTAGCAAACGAATCTCTCCTAAACAGTTTTGACGAATGTGGTGACCTTCCATTGCTGCCGGCCTCATGAAACTCGTCATCATCGCCATCCCTCCTAGTGCTGTCGTCAGTGAAGTTCTCGCCGGCCACATCACGTCTAACAAAGCGCTCGAGTAACTCTATTCGTCGCCGCAAGGTGCGCTCCTTTTGCGCGTGCAAATCCTTCATGCTTTGAATGTGTTTTTCGTAACTTTGTTGCTGCCGGATAAATTTGTCTTCCAGATGCTCTTGCTTCCGCAGTGCTTCGTCCAGAGCTCCCCGTAGCTCCGCCATAGAGCCAGGGGTGGCCGGAAAAGCCGAGCGAGAAGAACGGGGGCTGCGCACAAGTGCCTCCCGCGAGAGCAAGCCACTTTGTTTTCTCTTCTCTGGATCAGTATTCATGGCGTTCACATTGCCATGCACATAGAAGGAGTTGGGATGATTGTGGTGGACGTCACTCGCAGGTACGAGATGAAACGGTCTCAGCGGCAGCGATGGTGGCTCACTCGCCCCACCAGCGTGCTTGACGCGGGAGATAATATGCCTCCCACACCGCCGCAAGTTTTCCGCAAAATCTTCCATCAGAAACAAGACCGTGTCTCGCAAAAAACGCACCTCCCCACGCAGTTCCTTTGCGGTCCTGCTGAGACGAACGACGACAAATGAGCGAAAGGCGTCCAGTCGATCGCGAAGCACAACAAAGGAATCCTCCAGATCGTCGTTGTGGGTGTCGAGTCGATGGTACATGCGCTTTATTTTCTCTAACTGCTGCACGGTGGTGAGATAGTGCTGCTCAAGAGACACCACCGCCTCTGAGGGGCAGCGGAAGACGTCCTGTGCCGCACCACTGCTGGCGGGGGAGGCCGCAGTACTTCTCCTCGAACCTCGAAGTGCCACCTGCCCATCAGGGGAGACTCGTGTGCGGGCGTCATCGTCGTCGTCGTGAAGCAAACTAGAGACAGCAGAGTCGGCGTCTTTTGGCAAATCCGTCAGGCTCTTCGTCGAGGGAGTCCGATCCACGGTGGCCATCCGCGCCACAATTTTGCAAACAGAATAACACACCCCTTTGCTTCCCCTCTTATCCCTGTCATGTAAAAAGGGAAGTTGCCCCTACACGTGGCTTCGACCTGGCAGTAGGCAAATAGAAAGCAGAAAAGAACAGAAAAAAAAAAACAAAAAACAAAAAAAAAGGATAAATCCTTCGACCTACAGCCTCTCACAGACATACGCACAGAGAAAAGGAAACATACAAGTACACATATACATAAATACACGGAAAACCCAAAAAAAAAAAAAAAAAAAAAAAAAAAAAAAACTGCCATCCCCCATACTTTTTTTGTTATATTTCCGCTCGCTAATCCGCTTGCAATCAAACAAGATATATATATATATCTTCTTCCTCTTCTTTCACTTTTCATCCCCCTTCACATTCATCTTTTCTCCTCCCCCACCCCCCTTCTTGGTTTTTTTTTTTCAAGTGACACATGTCAACATGAAGACTGCGCACATGGAGCTGAGTGGAGTGAGAAAGGAGGGAGAAGATGAAAGGGAATAAATAAGTGAAAGAGGAAGAGGGTAAAAAAAAAAAAAAAAAAAAAAAAACATAGGGCCTTGTGTGTTTCTTCCCATGTATATCGTGTTGGATCTTTTTACACCGTGTGAACGCGTTACAGTCGAAAAAGTTCAGTCATGAGGTCACTGGGAAAGATCGCCGTAGTCATCCAGCAATGTCCGAAAAGACACCATTTCAAATGATGAATGAAATTCATCGCTCTGCGACACACCGGGACTGTCCCCTGTGATCTCGTAGCACCGCTGCTCCGTCAATGCGACAGGCACATCGGCGGCATTCTCCCACATCGCGTGCATGCTACCACAAAATTCCTCCAGTGTGAGGCCGTTCCTCGTGCTTTCCGGACACGGGTGCTGTAGCAGTAAGCCGCGCTCACAGAGCTGCCGCATCCCCGCCGGGAGACCTACCGGGATGACACTTCCTATTGGGATGCTCACTTTCACGAACGGCAAAGCATCCGCCGCGTCATCATCCAACGTGGTAGAATCGTGTTCTCCATCCATCGTCTCTGCCGCCTTAAAAATACGCGCGGCGAGATCCTTCTGTCGCCCCAAGAGGCGATACGGAGGCTCATTGCTGATGAGTGCAATGAAGAGTTGGATGAGGGCATAAATGACTGGGTTGGCGGCATGTGGATGTGGCTGCCAGCGACTGAACGGGCTGCCCTCAACATACACAGGAGGCGCGTACATGACCGCAAAAGCCCCAGTGGCTGGCATATGAACAAATCTCACATGTCCCTCCTCCATCTCCCTGTTCTCCACGGCACATTCCTGCTCCCAGCACGACGGTGAACGCCCCCTCTCGGGACCCGCCGCCATCCTCGTCTCACCGGTAGGAGGAATGGGGCAGAGAAAAATGTTCGACGGCGATACCACAATCCACGCCGCAGCCACTTCAGAGGGCACCTGCGTTTCGTCCATTAAAATATATTGAAGCGCCTCCGCTACTTGAAGGGTGATGCCGACGGCTTCTCGAAGCGTGAACCGTCGACGTTGAACGAAGAGAAGTTCATGCAGGGAAACGTACGTCGCCACGTCCTTGCGGCTGCCCGATGGACAAACTATGTACGAGGCAACAGAGGCCTTGACATTGTCATTCACAATAGACTGCACTGTAAAGCCCGTCACATCTCTCATGATGACTCCAAGTGCCGGTGTGGGTGTCACAGACGCCACAAAGGCGTCACCGTCGTGTGTCGACATTTTCTGCGTGAAGGCTCCGATAAAAGGGACTATATTTGGATGGGACCAAGTGGCGCGGACAACCATGTCCTGCACAAACGCCGTGTGGGTGTCAGGGGAAATAAGCCGCCCGTTATTTTCCTCGAGTTCATGCAACCGTACAGCTGCACCCTTGTAGCGGTAGCCGCTGTGCACATCAAATAAAAGAAACGCATTCCCCGACTTTACCAACTCGTCATGTGCACTACCGTCGGGTGGTGTAAGTTCCTCAAAGGGCATTTTCCAGCTACCGAACTGATGACGACGGAAGGCACAAATTACCTGCTCCTCTGACGCCTCAGGCCCGTTTACCGACGCACCTCTTTTTTTTCCTTTTTCTTCTTCTTCGGTCGTGCAGAAAATTGAGATCAGCGCACCACTCCGTAGGAGCTACACGTACTTGGAGGCATTTGACAATTCATCTTCACGGATGGCGTTTTTGTGCTCCCATTCCCACGCTGTCGTGGAGTGAAGTCGCCAGGCCTTCCTCATGCGCCCAAAGAGCCCCGTGAAGGAGTCACTGCAGGTGAAACGACTCCGCAAAGTCTGTTCCCACCCCTCACAGCTCATTTCCTGAATCAGCATGTCGGCGGACGAAAAGACAGTTAACAACTGCAGCGAGGGTGATGGATCAGGAAGATGCGACAATATATTAAAGATTTTCCGGAGACAACCGGCAACCAGCACACACTGAGCGCGATTGATGCGTGCAGCAGGCGCACTCTGCTGGATGGATTGCATGTGCCTTTCAAGAACTGCGGTACGAAGCAAGCCAGCGGCTTCGCTCTCCATATCTTTCTGCACTCCCTCTATATATATGTATATCCTATACCACCCTTCTTATTTATTGCAGTCAACAGCAACGGAAACAAAAATCGGCTCATCACACACACAAACACACACAGAAAAGTGGAAGCTCAGTCACTTGGCCCCCCTCCTCCCTCCCTCCCTCCCAGGTAAAATAAAATGAGACAAGCGCCAACCAACCATCAACTACAAC